ATTCGTCTGCTACTCAAGTGCAGGTCTTTCGACGGGTTTTCCAAATATCCTACACACAATCCACGCGTCAAACAAATGTCTAACGCGCGTCTGCATGCTCCATTAGCATTCGGTTGTATATACGCGTACGATGGAACACAGAGGGGAGGGGGGAGAGGTGCACGCTGCCGGCGTCGTGCGGAGGAAGAGAGACGGAGCGACGCCAGCTGATCGACGCCGCGGCGCGGCGCATCGCGACGTCGCGGTATCTACGATAACGGTGGCGGCTAACGCCGCGTTGCGTTACATTGCAATTCTCTCTCTCTCTCTCTCTCTCTCTCTCTCTCTCTCTCTCGCTCTCTCTCTCTCTCGGGCGATCCTCAATGTCACGCCGATAACGCGCCGCGGAAAATATCGCCTCGCGAAACGAGTGACTTTGGCTTGTCGGAAAGTCGTGCGCGGCCTTTCCGGCGGTGACGGCGACGGTGAACAATTGAACGCGTAACGATCGTTAAATGTCGGAAGGTACGTACGTACGTACGTATGTACGCGTACGTGTGCGTACATGCCGCGCGGGAGGCAGACGGAGAACGAAGTAGAAAAAAGATGGGGGCGCGACGCGAACAGAGAGAGAGAGAGAGAGAGAGAACGTGTATTGTGACAAAGTGAGAAAAAGAGACAGAGAGAGAGAGCTGGAACATGCGACCTTCGCGAAACGTCAAATGTCTATGCTGCTTAGAGCGCAGGGCCGTACTGTCAAAAGAATCGCGCCCGCGATGAATATATTATTGTTTTTGTAAAATTCATTTATTTAGAATGCGTTAAAATTAACGTATTATTCATATTTGTATTTCTTTCCCTTTTAGTAAATTTTAACTTTTACAGGGAAAGCCACTATAATATGTTCATATTTCGAAACAAAAAATACAATAAAATGATGAATTATAACAAATTTCATTCAGGAAAAGCTGTAAGATTTCAAAAATAAACCCCTCTCCTCTACAGGGTAGTAATTAATAGTCGCGGGATACGCTTATTTTTTATAGTAGCGCGTGTCAGACGAAACAAACGTTAGAGTTGAAGTTTCACGTTAAGTTTGACGAATAACAGTGAACGATAATGCAAGTATGAGATGAGAATTATTGTAATAATCCATATTCGATTATTCGCGGTAGCAGTGAGCGTAAGACTTTAGCATTTACCGTATTCCGACGCACGATATCGCAAGGGTTCGTTATTGAAGCTCCTTGCAAAATCCGACGTCTCTGACGTCCATGCAACGTGACAACACGCGGACTCCGAACATCGAATGCAGTTCCCTGACGAAGACAGACTGCGCGGCGCGAGGGCCGAATCGAGGAACGAGGACGGAGCGTCGTCTTCGGTATTCTCGTCGTCGAGACACGAGCGATACGTCACGCGGTCTGTCTCTGTCAAGGCAAGTCGATCGCGGAAACGCTATTATATCGTCGTCGTACAGGCGTTAGAATCGCGGCATAATGAAACGTAAGAATAAGAGAAGTGGGAAATGATCTACGAGGCATTGCACTCTAATGACAGAAACATATGATATTTCAGATTTACTGCGCCAAAAAATTTTTGGGAGGAAAGTCCTGATTTAGTGAAAGATAAGGCGAAAATTGTCAGATAAAATATAGGTAGATCATAACTATTTCAAAAATATTTTGACTATATTCTTTATAATTGAAGAGTACAACAGATAAAGCTTCATTTAAACAAACAATCGTTTTGATAATTTCAATTTTTAATTTTTTATGTGATCACATATTAATTATAACAGAAACAGATCAATTACAAGTTTTATGATCAAAAATTTACTTTTGACAAATAATTGTTCAGATTATAATTTACACTTTATCTGCTTTAACCACGTGTCATAATGTACATTCTAGAAATATAATAGACGCATATTCGACGTAGAAAATCATTCTAACGAATCCGTTCGAAATGTCAAAGCTAATTGAATTAGTTCGAAACTGATTCTAATCAAAGCTTCGAACGATGAAGTACACTGAAGCCAGTCGGGATTTGATTACAGAGCGCGTGCCACCACTACCACTTGCACTTTACGTCAACGTATGGGACAATGTTTGTTTCAAGCCTTTTTGCCGCGAATTTGAGTAATTAAAGTAATAGGGCAGAGTGAGAAAGCCATCAAGGGCAAGCGGATACTGGTATGAAAGAAAATTTCACGCCGAAGTGCGCGCTGTGCTTAGAATCTATTATTGGATCATTGTCAGTCAAGAAACTCGAATAACAAACAGAAAGTCTATACACATATGACACACGTCATATGAGATGGATCTATAAAAAGGATAAAAAAAATAAATGTTTGTTACAAAAGAATTGCTCTTGTATTAATATTCATTCAAAATTTTCACTTTTTGTTTTCTTTAAATATGCCATGCAAAGATGAATTAACCCTTTTTCTACTATAAGAGTAATGTTCTTTTTAATCAATTTATAATTAAAAATTTCACCGAGTCAGCTATCGTGTATAATTCGTTTTTTTTTCCAATTTTTGTAGACTAACTTCATAACAATGTCATCTTTTTTTTCATGATATTAACAAAAAATCTCTAAATTAAATGTTTATGAAAAACATTCAACAACAATAACAATTTTTTCCAAATTATGTATTATAAATTGATAAAACAATAATGTCATCTTTTTTTTTATAGTAACTAGAAACATCTTCAGATTGAGGATCATATTCTCATTTTTATCGATAAATGCTCATATTTATTGCTGAGATTCTATAATATATGTAATGTAAACTATGTGCGAATTTGTCGATAAAAATGAGGTGTGAATACGGCCATAAATGTTTTAATAAAAGTACTTATAAGGAACGTTCAACAACGATGAAAAAGGAAAAATAAAGAAAGGGAAAACTGATATCACGGATTAACTCATTTTTGCATAATGTTATTCAAATGGTTGTCTCCGACCAGCTCAGCACGAATTCATCTCAAAATGAGCCCACCTCAGAACTACGTCACTATGACTGCCGTTTCTGCCGCTACCAAAGTGAAATCCGCGAGAGAATACGTCGATGCTCGAATAGTTAAAGCCTCCTCGGAGCCACTCTTGTCGGAGCGGGCCGTTCGATCGCTCTAGATTTTCTCAGGACTTTACTTTTACTCGCTCACTCGATGACGCTCCTCACCGATCGTCTTCTCGACTCCCCTCGTGCTCCAAAAACGAATCTGCCTCTTACCTCTCCCTAGCGCGTTTCCCTCCCTCTCCCTCTCTGTCTCATCAATTTCTCGACGCACGTGAGGTATTTTCGTCCGTCCGTATTTGCGGCTCGCGGGACACGCACTCTCTGCAACTTGCCTAAGTCTTGACAACACGCGTATATTCACGCGCGCGCATTTTGTCGCACCTTTCTCGTGACGTTCTCTTTAAGCTTCATTGGTTTCCTCCTTCCTTCTCTTTTCATCGCAAACTCGCGCTCGGACTTATCACAGCTGAGCGCTAATAAACGCAGCTGATTTCCTTCTCTCGACCTCACTCCCTCTCTACGATATGATTCAAGACGGAGTGTCGACGACTCGAGAGGCAGCGCGACGACAGAAGCCGCGAGCGAAACGACGCGAGACGCGAGTCGCGAGTCGCTCCGCGTCCTCGGCGTTTCCTCGCGGCTCCAAGCGCGTCGTTCGCGCGGTTGCACTGTTTCACTGTCACGTGTGTCGCGGCACGCGCGAGGACCACCGTGCCAAAAGCGTACGTCTCGATATCGCTTTTTCCATTCTCTCTCTCTCTCTCTCTCTCTCCCTCCCTCGACTTCGAGCCAGGCTTTTCCGTTGTTGCGTAGAGGAAGCCGAACTATTTCGAACGCGCGTGCACGTCACGGCTTAACGAATGCACAGGACCGACCGCGAGATTCGAAAGCGGCTGCCAAGACTTTTCGGGGCCGCGCAAGGTCGCCGCGCCGATTTATAATCGCAGCTGTCAGAAACGCGCGCGCGGACCGCGAACGTGACGTGCACGCGCCGTAGCCGTAGCGCAAGCTGTCAGAGCGCGTGTTTTCACGTGTCTCCACTGTAGTTCGAACGGTGCAGCGACGCGCGCTCCGCAGAGACAGAGAGACAGAGAGAAAGAGAGAGAGAGAGAGAAAGAGACAGTCTTCGTCACTTCACGCGTGTCGTGACAGCTCCGCTGAAGGGCAGAACAACGCGTGCGAACAAACCGATCGAATGAAATCAACGTATCGAGCATGAAATCGAAACATCGTCCGATCCGAAAACTCGCGCGTACTTCACCAAATTTTCTCTGAAGTAGGTTTCCACTGTAAAGAAATGAAAATTAGGCCAGTCTCTTGAAAAGAAGTGGCTCGATCTTTCAATCTTTAAGAGTGAGATCTTACTCTTCAGAGTGAGATTCACTCTAAAAATTTTAGAGAGTAACACGAAAGTTGTGCGCGTGGTTTTCGCGTGACGCGAGGCCACGATTTTTCACCCGTTCTCCCTGTGATCCCTTCGCTCGGTGTCGATCGCTCTCTCTCACGATTCGACCTTTTATTTTCGTTTCTCTTTCTCTCCGTTTGTCTATCTTTTCCACGAACTCGTCAAGCCTCGTGGCAGGTAGCAGTGATAGCGGTCGAGTGCGACGGAACGTTAATGGCAACGATGGTTAACGAATATGGCAAGTGTAACGTCGACGGATGACGTACGACGGCGATAGATGAAAATGTTGATCCCACCCTCTTCGCAGAGTGAATATGTATAATATCTTTTTTCTCTCTTTTTCTCTCTCTCTCTCTCTCCGTTGGTCCATTTGACGTTTGTCACGATGAAATCGCGCACGCGTCACAAAAACCGTCGGGATATTAAAACGGTTGTCGTCTGCCCCCGGTGACGACGCACGACGATGACGATGACGACGACGTTTAATGATGATGATGACGACGACGATAACGACGGTAAAAATAATTATTCGCGCACTGGGCCACGTTCTTTCGTGAAATCGTAAAACACCGCGCTTTAAATATTTACCTTGCTACATGTAAAACGAATAGAGGAGCCTGCCTGAATCGAACGAAGGAAGGCTCGAACCGGCCCACTGTGACGTCGCCGGCCTACTGTCAGCTCAGCGCTCGCTCGGCCCCGCGGTCAACTAACCTACCGTGTTCGCCGCGCAGCCGTGCCGACAAAATAAATCGATTCTGCGCGGCTGAGTGCCGTGAGCGCCGCGCGATAAATCCGTGCGTACGCCGACAGGATTTTCGGCGTCATTCGCGCTTTTCCGCGCCCTCGCGATCGTCTTTCGATGTTTCGATAGTCGCTCATATGACTCGCGTTGTAGTCAGGTGTGAAACGCTCACGCGCGCACCGCCGCGTACACACGCACGCGCGCGCTCTCCCACACAAAGCCGTCGCGCGATGCGCGCGTGCGCGCTCTCAGCGCGCACGCACACACTCGCGGCGCGATGTAGGAGGACGCGCGCCAACACGGATACGCACGTATGCCACACGGATAACACACATACGCACCGACAACGGCGTCGCGCACGTTTCTCTCGCGGATCTCGTGATTCGTAGAGAGGCACAGGCGTCGTTGGACCAAAAAAACGCCGGTGGTTGGGAAGGAAAGAAAGAAAGAAAAAGAGAGAGAGAGAGAAAGAAAGGGGAAGGGGAGAGAGTCCTGTGAAAGAAAGGTAAAGAGGGGATGCGTAAAAGTATCGCACGCATCGATGTCTTACGCAGCAGCGCGCCGAGAAGCTAATTATTATTTTCGATGTATGATCACGAGTATGAAACATAACTAGTGCCTTCGCATGTCTGACGATGACGGATCGATTCCTTCACGAGTCTGATCGATAAAAAAATGTTATGATGAAATGTCGGATTCTTTATGAAATAGACCCGCGATGAAATATTTACATATATGAGTCTTATTATTTTGAAAGCTCGGCGTAACACTCCAATCTTAATTGAGAATGACATTTGAGATAATAAATTGTGAGTACTTAACTTCTCGGAACGAACTTTTTTGGCAAATTGTAAGTAACTGTCTTTACAATTTATGTGTATATTACTGTGTGTTTAAAAGTAAAAGAGAAAAAACACAATATTGCATAATTAATATTTTTTCGATAAAATTGATTTTTATAATACCTATTGAGTACTTTTATTTTGTTATCATTTATATATTAGTAAATAAAATAATTTTGATCTTACATATACAATATCTCATTAATAAAAAAATAAACAAATTTCCTTTATATAGATATATAAGTTGATTTGTTTGCTCTGAAACTTTAATTATATAATATCTTATTTCTTCATTGCTGATTTAACAAATATAATTAAGACTTCTATTTCATATGTATTCGTACGCTTAACAGACATAAAACTTCTCATTTGTTTTACTTCTTGATCACACTTACTTATTTCCTAATTATCTTTGTATCTTTTTACATCTTGTGAACACTATATTTCATTTCTACTTTTCCACGCTTTTTTAAATGTGGCAGTACATTGTGTACGTGCGTATCTTAAGTTCTACTAAACTTCGCAGAGTGATACATGCACGTGTATTCGTCTGCGCGAGTCTCGCGGCGATGTACTCCGCTTTTATATAGATCCTTAGGTAACGCGAATTGCGCTTGCAGCTCGTCTGCATTCACGAAAGAGAGAGAGAAAGAGAGACAGAGGCAGAAGCATGTAATAGCAATGCGTGTTCTTCAACCTACATTTGGAGTATCATCTTGCGTTAGCCAAACTGCAGACAGTTGGCCTAAAAAATAGCCAGTAAAAATTTATATATACGTTTATATTTATTTCTTTTCTATAAAGATAATGCCGACATGTAGCATATATCGATTTATTTTAATAAGAAATTTCAGATAAAGCTACTTTGCTAATTTAAACGATTTACGTAACTTTGACAACAATAATAAATCATAAATAAACCACAATAAATGTTTGTAGTTGCTGCAAAATTAAAAAAAATTTTTTTATTGATTGAGATATGTACTGAAAAGAGTACACTGCGCACGTCGAAACATGTTGCTAGCGGGCATGCTTACGAAGAAAAGTGGCTCCGTGAGCTTTATCGAGCGATCGTTACTCATAAATTATTAGCAAATCGATGATTTACAATCGATGCATAGATACAGGAACGCGCAGACTAACGTTCCAACGAGAAAAACCAAAGCGGCGCAGTTCGCCGGTATTTTCCGTCTTACGTGCAACTCATAATTAATAGTATCACACTGAAATGGTTAACACTTTCCGTGATTTATCGTTTTCTATTTTCCATAATTGCTACGTATTGCACTATTCCGCAATATTGCCAACAATTTGATAAAAGGCACAAAGTATGCTCGTGATAAAGTCATAAGCAAATCTTTCAATCATCGTGCGAGCGTTTAAAAACCTAGGCCATGTAATTACATAACTAAATTTTCTAAGTAAAAAATATTTATATATTAGCACGCAAATGTGGTTAATTATACATTGTAGGCTCACGTAAGAGAAGAAATAGGCAATTAAAATTATTAGGAATATTATATTGTTACAAATTAAAATTATTATATTATAATTATTTTTATTTTTACAGGCAGCAAAAAAACTAATCGTTAAACAAAACTGTACTTTTGATCCCTTTGAAAAAGACCGATCTTCTCACCAAGGATTCAGAAACGAAATAAAAAGGCGAAAGGGTCAGCACTAAAGTGGTTGCACTTGCTTTCGGGCACCTGTGGTCCTGCGTGTCAAACGCGATTATAGTCTGCGTCCGACGTCGTGTGCATATGCATCGATCCGGCGCGACCACGCGTCCATTGTTTTTTTGCATCCTTTTTGTTCATAACCGTGCGGTTACGCTGATCCCCCCCCCCCCCCCCCCTCTCTCTCTCTAGCCTGCCGTTTTATTTTTACTTTGCACGACTGTGCTAGCGCCGACCGACCATACAGCGTATCGGACGCTCGTGACGTCGCCCGAAAGTGCATCCTCGCGCGTGCTGTTAGGTAACCCTGAGATAGCGACGCATCAGTCGGATCTCTTCGCTACAGCGACGATTGCAGAACGTAATCGTTGGATCACGATCTAGGCTCGCATTCTCATCTCGTGTTTCTTATTCAGAAATTTATTTGAACCTTTAATGCACGCGCTACAACCATTACAATCGTTATCTCTGATGCATAATAATGCAAATGTTACGAAGTTATAGGAATTGTAACAATGTGATTGGGCATTGTATTATTACACGTAATAGAGAAAAAAAGAAATTGAATAGGAGATTAAAATAGTTATGCGCTGCGTCATAAACATTACGATTTAAATGACTAAATGCAGTTAATTCTAAGTTTTGTTTGAATATCGTGGAAATATGAGAGAGACGTGGAAATATATACCACAACTGCATTAGTAGCTAAATATGCGCAGAGTGAATACAAATCCAAATGTGCTCGCAAAATATCTTCCGGCTCCCGAGCCAAATTTTGCCGTTTTACCTTTCAGGATAGCAATTTTAGTCTTTTTGTGACGTGAAAATTTCTTATCTCGTTGTTTTCATACAAACGTTACGTATCGCTTCGTTTATACGGCGCGTTATATTTACGCGTGTGTTCCACTTCTTGCAAAAAAATGTTCGCTGCTGCGAGAATGTGTTATTAAGTGAACTGCTAAAACTGATACGGATTAAAGGCACTATGGAATATATGCGAAAATAGGATATAAAACGAAGATTTAAATAATTTTATTATCACAATCGTTGTAACTCATTCATTGTATCATGTGTTTACATATACCATAAAAATTGCAAATAAAAAGGTGTCTAAAGAATACTTCTCGCAGTAGGATCTTTATGGGTGATTGTGACAGTGAGGTAACATTGTAACATATTTGAATAAAAAACAAATTTTAGAGTTATTTTTATCAACACTTACAAAGTAATTATGTTTCTTTATATTAAATAAAAAAGAAATCTTCATAGATTTGTAAAAACTATAAATGTATAAAATTTTTGTTTAAAGACGGAGCTATCAACAACTTATGGAAATTTATATATTTATGTTTAAAGTTCATTTTTGATAATAATTTTACTGTTAATTAAGTTTCTTGTCATATTTAGAAATTATAAGTATTTAATTAATAGATAATAATTTGCAACAAAAGTTACATTGGTATTTTTTTGTTAAATTTTAAATGGAATTACAAATATCCTGTGTAATAAATTTATTATATTGCATTGTTAAATCTATAGTGTCAAATTTAACCTAACGTGAGTCGCCATTGTTCCTACTAAATATATTATTTATAGTTATTTTTTACCAAAACGATAGATAAATATGACATCATATCGTATCAATTTGACATTACATAGTGTCAATTTGACACTGTATAATATCAAATATAACCATTGTTTTAATATAAAATAACGATATGATTGTGTAGGAGCAGTGACGACTCATGTTAAGTTAAATTTGACACTATATATATAGATTTAACAGTGTGGATAAATATAACATTAAAAAGAATATCTATACTCTAATAATGAAAATAATATAATAATAAAATAGATGCATGTAAAATCTAAATTTAAACATTATTTAAACGATCTTAACTTTTTAATCGAATACGTATTCTGTTTTATTTTTCTATAAAACTTAAAGTTATATGATATAACCTTTAATCACTGAATCTAATAATTACACTATACAACACTATTTGCAACATAAGTATGAATAGTCATTTCCGACGTATTTTTGCATGCTAAACACGAATCTATTGGTAAAAGTTGGCTATTCATAATTGTTGTCACGTCACAATTTTGAGATAAAGTTAAAGAGGTAAAAACGATGATTTTGAGCTTGTTTTTCAAACATTGTAAAACATGCACATATTTTTTTTACTTAATTTCATCAATGCCACATCAAAGTAGCAACTTTTAGTTTTAAAATGCATACTGATTCATTTTGATAAGATCTTTTATTTTTGAAAGATATAGAAATTTGAAAATATGAATAGTTCTTTTTTCATATAACAGAGTATCCGACAAATAATATTATTTTAAAGAAAATTAATATTTTTAACATTTTGAAATGTTGATTCTA